TCTGCAAAACATGTTGCCACACACACTGCCACGGTGAATAGCTATGGAATGAAATCTGGTGTAGAAGAGGGGGGAAAAAAATCACTCTTAATGGGTTAAGAAATACTGTTAAATCTTTCTCTGTCCCAACAACTTGATGAGGATCTCCGTTTCAATTCTGAAGTCTTCCATTTTCCTCTTTCCACAGTTGGTGTCCCTAGCTTCTATTTTTACTCGTCTCTTTCATTGGTTATGACTGTAATGCAATTACATTTCCAAAAGACAATGTGACTTTCTCGTTTTCACCTTTTTAAACTTAATATAAATGTTCTGAATGTTCACATGTTGCATTTATTTGCATTGGGATGCCATTGTCCTGTAAAGTGCAAATTTTAAAAATACAATTGGCAAAAAGATTTGATAGTTTTACAGAAAGATTTGCTATCTTAAACTCAAACTGTTTTCTATTTTCATCTAAATGACTGGGATGCTATCTTTGTAATTCTTTGAGGTCATATTTGTGAAATAAACAATTACACGAAAGCTTTCCTGTCATATACACTATATGTAGTCTGGAGTGTTGAGCAAACTTGAGTTCCTGAGTTGTAATATCTATCTACGTATGGTATTTACGATTTTGAATGTGTGCCACTACCAAGGTAATAATGCTGTACAATTTTGAATGGTGGTAGTTTCTGTATGGCAGTCCAGCTGAACTATTTTGATGTACTGCTTAATTTTTGAATTTTATTTTTTAAGTTGTATAATTTATTTTCTTGCAAAATAAAAATGTAATATAAAAGACTACTCATTTAGCAAGGTATTTTGGTGTCTTCCCCTGCAAAATTTTTAGGTTGAATTCAGGTGCTGCTCCTGAAAAATACCACTGTAGGAAATTTGCCTGAGTCCAAGTCCCAAATTCTGTTATGATCAGAGTACTAAAAAAAAAAAAAAGTGAAGATTTCCAGTTCTTTTCTTGTTATGATTTTTCAAGTACTTAATGTTGTATGTAGAGCTATTCAGTCTTCCAAATTCTTCTATTTAAAGATGAGCTGTAGTCTTTCAATTTAAATTTATCAAAGCCTGCCGTGCCAAAAGTGGCTGGGGGTGCCTGACTTTCTATGGCATTTTTAGAAAGAGTTATGTCTCTGTGTAACTTACTGGGATGTACTTGGGTTGCTGAATGTTTTGACTGATTTGTGTCTGAAACTACTTATAATGAGTGTCCCTGAAAATTACTGGTGGTATCACCAGATTGTTGGGACCTTCCGGTCCCCGATCCTGCAGTAAACAAACAGTGATGTGGGAACAGTCGGTTGCCTGAAGGAGCGCTTTTACTGTGTAATGGCTTTTCTCCTCTGATTGTCGTTGCCTTTTAATGCGAATCTCTTTTTACATTTCAACTCCTTTTTCCTTTAAGTGCACCGGCTGACATCAGTGTTTTGTGCTTTCTGGTACATGGAAAGGTTAGAACTATTTGTATGGAATAAATAACTATTTTTGAGTGACTGTTCGGTGCCCATGGCAATTTTCAAACTGGCAGTTCTCACAGGCAGAACTTCGATAGCATGCTGCCATTATTTCCAAATTTTTTTTTCTCCATTAGGGCAAAGTGTAGTCTTCCACAACAATGGTTTTCCAGGTAGAGTTGTTCTCTAGAAATAAGCCAGTTATCACAGGATTTGCTTAGCTGAATCAACTCCTACCACTTTAAATAGATCACAGTTCAGGTAGAATGGTTGACCGAAATATGAAAGGCTCTAAACCTGCTTCATTCTTCTGATAAACTAAGAACTTGGCTTGTTTGCTTGCTTTCTTTGCTTTACGTGTAAACATCTCTTTCTAGGTGTAGGCATGGTGCCTGCATTTCATCCTTTTTTATTCTAGTGATGGAGAACCACTATGTAACTTCAGTTGGATACTGTGCTGCAAGTCCTGCATGCGATCTGAACCACCTGTAAGAGAAGAACGCTTGGGGCAGGTAGGCTGCTGCTTCTGTCTGCTGATCTGGGGCACGGTCAAAGCAAATCTCATCTCCCGAGCTAAGTAAGACTGAACACTGAAAATCAGTGACTTTGAAATTAGTGTGTTACAGTTGTTCTTGGTGAGAAGAGATGCTGAAAGAATTAAAGAAGGGAATGCGCTATGGTTTTCTTTCTCCATGCTGTTCCTGTTTTTAAGACCGTGGTCTAATGTGTGTACAGCTTGGGATTTGCCATCTATTGCAGTCATTGATTTCTACTAGCGAAGACATTAAGGAAATCACCACACCTCCTGCATTTGTTGTAGCAGGCAGTTGGAACTTAGCTCAAGCTGGGGTAAATATGCAGGATTTATTGCACCAAACAGGTACTCCAGATGTCAGTAAGCCCCCCTGGCCCAGATGACATTCAGCCGTTGCTTTAGAAGGAACTGAGGGGTGACACAGAACTGCTGGCCGAGGTGCGTCACCTATCGCTACAACCGGCTTTAGTGCCAGGGGACTGGCGGGTTGCCAGCAGCTTTTGACTAGCTTCCACACCAAATGGCATGAAGGCAACCAAATCGCCGTGGAGCTGGGGAAGCTATGGCTTCAGCTGGGAGAGGAGCATTCAAACGTGGATGTGACTGAGCTTTACAAAAGCAGAAAGGCAGAGAGTAAGGCGGAACTATTTTCACAGAACCCTGTAACATCAGCACTAGGGCTACTTGATAAAACCAGCAGAAGATTGGAACAAGTCCTCTTTTAGTGTTTTAAACCAGGCAAAGCTAGGGCTGCAGATCACAGGTATCAGCAGGTTCAAAGAGGATTAGACAAATTCATGCATAACAAGTCCATAAAGAGATAATAAAGTCGAGGATAGACCCTCTAACATCACTAAACGGTGAAGGTGGGTGCTGGGGAAGTCTAGAGAAAGTGCCCTGCCTCTTCTGCTCAGCCTCAAGCAGTGGCTGTAGGGGGTGCTACTCTGCTACAGTCCCTATTGAACTCTCTCTTCTTGAATTCTCTTAAATGTGAATTATCCTGAAAAAAATGAATTATCCTGAGAAAAGGGGCTAAAGAGAGAAGGGGAAAATAATAAAAATTAAAAAGCAACCAATTGCCTAGAGGGAGCAACAGATGCAGGAGGGGAGGAAGAAGGTGCATGATGATCACAGGACCAAAAATGTAAAACGCAGGGGAGTGCCCAGCAGAGCACCCTTGTCAGTGCTCACCATCTCCTGAAGGTGTCCAAGCAGCCTGTGGCTGCTGCCTCATGGAAAGGGACGCAGATCCCACAGGCCAAAGGGTTTCTTCCCTTCTCCTCCTCCAGCTTCCTCCTGCCGGTGGTGTGAATGGCCGTTTGGCCAGGGCTAGGAAGCGGCTGGCGAGGTGTCCTGGTTTCGGCAGGGATAGAGTTAATTTCCTTCCTAGTAGCTGGTACAGTGCTGTGTTTTGGATTTAGGGTGAGAACAATGTTGATAAGGCACCGATGTTTTAGTTGTTGCTAGGTAGTGTTTACACTAGTCAAGGACTTTTCAGTTTCTTGTGCTCTACCAACTGAGAAGGCTGGAGGTGCACAAGAAGCTGGGAGGGGGCACAGCCAGGACAGCTGACCCAAACTGGCCAAAGGGATATTCCATACCATGTGACATCATGCTCAGTATATAAAGCTGGGGGAAGAAGAAGGAAGGGGGGGACGTTTGGAGTGATGGCGTTTGTCTTCCCAAGTAACCGTTACGCGTGAGGGAGCCCTGCTTTCCTGGAGATGGCTGAACACCTGCCTGCCCATGGGAAGGAGTGAATGAATTCCTTGTTTTGCTTCGCTTGTGTGCGCGGCTTTTGCTTTACCTATTAAACTGTCTTTATCTCAGCCCACGAGTTTTCTCACTTTTACCCTTCCAATTCTCTCCCCCATCCCACTGCGGGGGGAGTGAGCGAGCGGCTGCGTGGTGCTCAGTTGCCAACTGAGGTTAAACCATGACACGAGGGCATCCTGCTACTGGCGTGGGGTCAGAACGGGGAGGGTGTAAATAAGCAGATGTTGGGGAAAGTGCAGCCCAAACCGCCGGGAGAGGGACTGTGCAATAGTGTGTTCCAGGGCGCTCACATGCACATGAGGGAATGCTGGCTGTGATGGATTTTTTGTTTGACCTACTAAAGGTGTTCTTTCTGTATTTTTTTGATATTGCATTAGAGGATTTGTATCCTGAAATATAGTTATTAACCATAGGAAGGAGATGTTTCTTTCTTCTTCACTTAGCTTCTCTATGCACTGGACTTCTTAGGCAGCTCCAGACTAACTTTTAAACTAGTCTTACTTCAAGAATGTGTCATCTTGTTGGAAACTTGAAGTTGCAGAACAATTAAATAGTTTTATGATAGTGCTATGTTGTATCTTCTGAATTCCCATGGAGTTAATACTTACGTTGCTGAAAACTGGTAAATTACCTGATCACCTTGCTTACCCTTTAGGCCAGGGACGTGATGCTCTGTATGTTACAACAGTCATATTTCAGCAACATCCTAAGCAGAAGACCGTCGTACATTAAGGAGGTAATGACCCATGTACCAGTTAACCTGAAAAGATGCAGGTTATGTTACAGCACGGGCTATGCCGTGTTGTGGCGCAGGTGTACCTTGGCTTTCTGGCCTATCCTGTGCTGCACCTATCCCCCGGCTGCAAAAAATACTTGGGCAGCTAATTGTAACGAAGGAACCTGTAGGAGCTCCCTTCTGGCATTGGCAATTACACCACCTGCATGTTGTCTTTATCTCAAAGTGAAGCAGCCTGTTCTTGTGTGAATATCCTTTTGTTTGACAGTAGGAGTGATGACTAGAATCGTTTTCTTCTCAGAAGATCCTACAAGAGCTCTAAAGACCAAAACGCTGGGGAGAACCTCTCCATAGACAGGATCTGCACCGCGGGCCGTGCCCTGATTGGAGGTGTGCCTGATGCTGCACAGCTCGGGGTTCCCAGCGTCTGAAGGGAGGTAAGATTATCTTTCCTGTCCTCTTTTTTCTTCTCATGTGAGCTCTAATAAAGGGCCTATTAATCAATATGTCTGGGAGTCCAAGTGCCTTTCTGGCTGCTATGATACAAATGCTAGTACTGGTGCGTTAGGAGGCTGCATCCCAGAAAAAGGGCCTTATACTGCTGGAGTGAAGGTGAAGTTGAATAAGAGCTTTCCCTTTTTTTTGTTCTATATGTTTTTGGCATTACTCATTTCTGAAAAACATCATCATCCAACCAAGTTGGGTGTCTTTCCTATATGGTACACAAGTATTTTCAGGGTAAAATTTTCAGTTCTTCCTGAGTCAATATTTGTCAGTTCCTGTGTTATCGCTGGTTTGTACCTGAAAACTTTGGCTCTAAATCAAAGGTCTAGACTAGATTGGTCAAACTCTCAAAACATCAGCTATCGACAGTCAAGGACGCAAAAGAGTCCAAATGCTTCCCTCATCTGTGCCAGTCCCAATCAGCCTCTTGCCACGTGTCTCCACGTGGAGAATCTTGAGACATGTATGGAAAGCAAGAAGTATCTTAGTTTTGAGAGCAGACAGACAGAAGGTTAATTCTTATCTCAAAGGGAAATGAATGAGATGTGCAACAGAAAATGAACTGAAGCAATGTTGATGAATGTTACTTTTACAACATGAAGAAAAAACAATAATAAAAAAAATCAGTCAAGATAGCAAGTGGATGGTAACAAGTTGTTGAGATACTCTTGCTTTCCATATGGTATATTGAAAGGATGCCTCTTGGCATTTGTTCCAGTTTGTGGTCCGAAGGGAACGGAAGGAAGGCTGCAAGCCTTACCTGGCTGTAGGCATCAACTCCAGGGAATGCAGCAATCGGTCATGGGATATTGTAACAGATGGTATGCTACCTCCTTCAGGAATTAAAAAAGTGGCTGAGGAGAAGGTAAGCAAGACTGATCAGAAACAAATACGGAACTGCTTGTCCTAGACAGTGTGCAGCAGCACAATTCACAGAGAATTGGGAGAAAAGGGAACTGGGGTTGTTTAGCCTGGAGAAAAGGAGGCTGCGAGGAGACCTCATCGCTCTCTGCAACTACCTGAAAGGAGGCTGTAGCGAGGTGGGTGTCGGTCTCTTCTCACAAGTAACAAGTGATAGGAGAGGAAATGGCCTCAAGTTGCGCCAGGGGAGGTTTAGATTGGATGTGAGGAAAAATTTCTTTGCTGAAAGAGTGGTTAAACATTGGACCAGGCTGCCCAGGGAAGTGGTTGAGTCACCATCCCTGGAAGTATTTAAAAGACGGGTAGATGAGGCGCTTAGGGACATGGTTTAGTGGGCATGGTGGTGTTGGGTTGACAGTTGGACTCAATGATCTTAGAGGTCTTTTCCAACCTTAATGATTCTATGATTCTATTCTATGAATGTCACCTTGTCTTTTGAGCCTGTTCTTTTGAGATACAAAGCTCAAGACCAGGAAGGACCAGGATTTTCCTAGCCTAGCTCCATACATGTTGGATAGACAGACTGGAAAGAGGCACTGCCAGACAGACAGACAGCTGTAGAGATTTAATACTGGCCTTCATTTAGAAGTCTAGATTTGGAGGCAGAGAACATGAGGGGGGAAAGCAAAATGCAGGGAAGACTGTGGAACCAGTATGGGTGTCCTGGGGTCGAGTGGGTACCAATCTTTCTGTAAAGGCAGCTGCCGAGATGGTTGTCAGCCAGGTTTGAATTCTGAGGTAATACTTTAAGATGTTTATGCCCAGGGCAAGACAGGAAAAAGTTTAAGGGGAATTAAGTTGCTGGCTTTTGTGAAAACAGCATGCAGATACAGCACGAGGGCACTCCAGGCGCGTAAGTGCTCCAGACTCAGAAATACTCCAGCACCTGCATCCCCACAGACCTTGTAGCTGAGCAGGTATGTTTCTGAAACGGGTTCCATATAGGGATAAATTTCTGGGTAGCTTTATTTTGCTTATTTCAGCTTGACACTGAAGAAAGGGTTGGGCGAGGGGCTGGGCTGGTAGAGCGCAGCCTCAGCGTTGCTTTCCCTTCCTGGTGGAGGAGAGGAGACAACCCTGGGAGCTGGTTCTCGCCCCGCAAGGATCTTCCACGCTCTCTTCATACCCTTCGTTACGAGTTATTTTTCCACTCTGCACGGAAACCAAGGCTGTCTGCCCCGCGCCTGGGGCTTGTCCCTCCGCAGCCCGCTTTCCCTCTCCTCAAGGCGGGCTGCGCTGCCGCCCCGTCCCGGCGGCACTGGCGACGAAAGAAATGCGCCTGTCACTGCAGAAAGGGTTCCCCGAGAGGGCGGAGGTTCCGCGGCGGCGGCAGGAGCTGCCAGACACCGGTCGGACGCCC